TATGAAGGCAACGGTCACTTTATAAGTGACAGGCTAAGCTTAGATAGCTAATTTTATGAACTATTAATATTGAACATCAAGATAGATATTTACTTTAAATTCGGATACAAACTGCTTTGCATCGTCTGCCATTTTCTCAGCGATCATCGTTTTCAGCTGACGGACTGGATAGCCCATTGATCCTCCGTTATAGTATACATTTTCGTGATCATTTGACGTGTGCTGTATGTCTACATTTTCAATTTCGAGATAGATATGTTCTTCAGTTTCGTCTGAAATAGAATCCAGTTTTTAGTATAACTCATATATCAGTTAAGTACTGTATCAAAGTCGGATACGTATATTTAAATACTCGAGTGGATATCATAAATGCGCTATTGATGTAATCGTAAGTGCGTAATGTACATATACACCACTCACTTTAAATATATTTTCTAAATTTTTTACAAGTTATACAAAAAAGCCTACTTCGACAGGTTGTATCCTAAATAAGACTTGCATTATGATATTTGATGCGAGTATATATTAACTCACAAATTCACAATTATGACAATAGTATTAACATATGCTTGACGCATAAAATACTCATGTAAATAAGGGAAAAACACATTTTTCAGTTATTTTCGGCATGAATATCATCGCAAGTTATAGCTATTGCGCTATAGGATACAATATTTTCCTAAATGAATACTGTAGTAAGAGTAACACGGTTACTTACCTGAATTATTTTTTGAGTTGCCTCTAGGGATTGGCTTTTCGTATTTCACGGATGGTGCTGTTGTCATTTCCCTGAGTGTGGTCGATTTTCTGATTAAAGTAATGATTAAAGTAAAAAAACAAAAACATGCCGCATTGAAAACAACGTTTAGATGGCTTAAAACAATGATATTTTCCTTATTTGTTTTATCAATTATATTTTTTATAGAAATCCGTGTTTTGTAAACATGCAGGTTTATATCGATACAATCAAACATTGAAGCCGAACTTCCTAAATGCCTTTGAATATGCGATTTTGCACTTTTAATATGTATATATGTATATATATAATGATGAATATATATGTTTGTACACATGGGCCAAAGAAGTAATATCAAATTTCCGTATAACACTGCATCTTTACAAGCGTATGTTTACAGTGTACGGATAACATTACTTTAAATTGGTAGACGGGCAAGAAAGTAAGTCAGACAGTGTAAACAATCTGAGGTTGTCAAATGTTAGGAGCAATTCGCTACTTTATCGAGTCACTTAACACTTACATGACATAAATTCATATCAAAATATAATCAGGCATAATAAATGGACACATACAGAAACTGACGTTTCGTCCACTTAATCCGACAGCGTCTGTTAGTATTATACACTGACAGGTAACAGCAAGATAATGAACATTGCCGTAATGACCATCGATACACACATGTATATATAGCGGACGTCGAAATAGCAAACTATTATGTGACGTCATAGTTTATGACGTCATAGTATCATCTCCTTGATGAGATGAAAGCTCCAAAGGCGTGCTGTTAAGATTTGTTTCTTTTTATATTACTTTAATATATATATGTCGTATCAAACATTTCCCTCCCGTGTTACACACTGTAGTACTATACAAACTTCTTTATGTTGAGTAGATACTAAGCATTGAATTTATTAATATAGTTGGTGCAAGTCTTTCATTCTGTCAAGTACACTCGATTGGTGCCCAACCTTGTGACTACATACACTAATATGATCAGGACCTTGTTAACAACATACGCTCTAGATACAGGCGAACATTGTAACAGTTCTATGTGAATGGTTGAGTGAAAAATTGATGTTGCCCATTTAATATACGCACGTATTTAGATATTAACAGAAAATACAAAATAATAAATATTGTTTACAATGGTGTATTGATGACGTATTATATTGGTCAAATTGGTGTTACTCTTCCGTTTAATCACATTTACATAATTGGTTCCCATTTACCTTTTGACAATAATCACTGCTACTATGATCAACATAAGGAGGACAGCAATCCCGACTCCAGCTCCGACGTATGTGCCTACATTGCTGTCTTCACCACCTGACTGTTTGTCCGCTATAGTAAACAAAAACGGTTTAGTGGAGACAATGGTGTAGTGACAATATTGATAAAACTGTAATCGTCATCGTAGTTATTATTTCGCTTCCTGTCTTCAATGTTTATATATAAATGTAGCAAATATATATTGTATATCCGACCCAAGGAAGGAACAAGACAAAAATGTTACCAAGCACATACATTTTTTTAACCACTCAGTTATATGATGTGTATAATAGAACGTATATGAGTTGGTGTGTGTTACCTTTGACGTCATTACGTTGTCCGGTCCAGTCCTTTTGACATGGCTCACAGTTACCCGTGGTTATGTCACAGCGTTTATCCTCACAATTTCCACAAGTTCTTGCACAGGAAGTACCGTAATTACCATCAATGCAAGCTAAAATGATTTAAATTAATGTATTGAATGCGTTTGAATGTTATTTATTACAGGATATTTAATATATTCATTGATATTTGACATGGTAAATTTTTGGGGAAATGATCACACTTTATCCAATCCCAATATTCAGATCTGCTGCATTTACATTATACTAAGGGTTATCAGTTCAACGAAATTGAAGGAAATAGTAAATGATGTTAGTACTCTATTGAATTTTGTTTTCATTTTTGATCCATAAAAACAATTAAAAAAATTAAACCACGTTCTTATTGTATATGAGAATCGTGAAATAAAGCTTCATCAATCAAATTGAAAGTTAAGTTACCAATAAGAAAGGTGTGTCAAAATGGTTACCTAAGCAATGTCCTCCGTCTTGAACACACGTAGTGCAGTTATCTGAACACCACCGTTCACACATGTTTCCATACTGACCATCTAAACATCCACCTGTTGTTTGAAATTCGATATTATTTATTAATAAAGTTTGCAATTTTATGTTAATTTGAATGTTAGATTAATTTCTAATACTATAAATATTATAGCAAGTGTCAGATATATATTCACATTTACCAATATAAAAACATTAAATTTGACAAACAAATATTATATATGCAAGGATAAAATACACACAGTCTAACATGTTCTAGTATTTTCCTGACCTCATCGAAATAATATTAGAACTTTTTAATTGTCAGAATAAGTATATGTAGTATTTGTTTTACTTGGAAAATAGCGTTCTCATACTTTGATTTTTTCTGTTATTGTTGTTGTATGCATTACATACACATACATAATGACGGAGTTGTCGCCCTTGGCACTTTTTGGAAACAGCAGATAGTTCCGTATAGTAGATGGACATCTTGAGGTGGACAGTGAAGTTGGAAGGAGAAGAGGGCTAGAGTGGTATTAGGACAGACAGTCGGACATGTTTCGGGAAAGAAGTGTATGATAGTTTTGGTGATGGAATTGTACGTGAATAGACTGTGTCAAAACTAGAACAACAGTGACAGGTGACATTTGGTAAGGCAACACAGGTGATGTTCCTTAGAGAAATCATCTGTTATAATAATTGAGACCATGACATTGTTGTGTTGTTATTATTGCACTGGGTGATTGTTATATGAATCGTTAAACTTGCTTCAAAACTCAGACAAACAAATAACTTCAGTAATATCCAACGAAAGATTCCATAACAAACATTTAAAAAAAAACGGTCCTTGACATTCATTCATTATATGTAAAACGGTAAAACTAAATTAGTTTATTTTAACGCTCTTACATCATATTCTAGTGATTACTTTCATTCAGTGAGACAAACAATAGATACCTGTACAGTGGCCGGAGAAATCGCAAGTTCTGGACAAACAGTTATCAGAACAGTTGGCGCAAGTAGGACCATAGAAACCATCGTTACACTCTGAAATGATCAGTTAATGGATATGTGGCGACATATTTTACTTCAAAATAACATAGAAAACATTACATCATTATATTACAATAATTAAACGTTAAAATATAAAACCTCTTTGATTTTACAATTATTTCAAGAATGGTTTCTATAACGTTAGTCCTGTCTTTGTCCTCACTTCTAGACTAAGTAATTAACTGCGATATTTGACAACAATTTTATAATCTCTCTCCCAATATGATTATATAGAAGATATAAGGTGACTTTCTCCCTTGGTCTCACAGATAAGGAATTTTTGAAATTACTAACATGCTTAAAATGTACGATACAAACCAGAGCAATTTCCACTCTTTATCTCACATACGTTGTTTCTACAGGTATATGGACATTTTCTGTGGCACCATGAGCCGTACAAGCCCTCTCGGCATTCTGTAAATACATAAATAGTCTTATAAATTACTCTTGAGATAACGGTATCAATATACTTATAGATGGGACATTCATATTGATTAAAGCTACTATCAACATCTGGCAACGACAGAAAACATGAGATTTATCTTGTATAAGACATTAACAAGCTGATTAATTTTAATTGCTTAAATAAGATATGGAAACAGTTTGACCAAAATTAGAAACTGTTAACGGTTATAATTTATTCACATACACAATGACGTAAATCATCAATTTGTATTTATTTTGTTCACAGATGTTTACCAAATTTACAATAAAGCTGGTGACATGACATATTTATATACATTCAAATTACGTCATATCAAGCATGGAAGCAGGCTTGTAACTCAACAGTGTCCTAGTGACATTCATAATTTTAAAAAGGCCGCGAAAATTAGGAATAAAATTTATTGTTATATCATCCTTAGGACTAATGAGGTGGGAGCAAACCATGAAACAAAGAGTCCGGTTTTACTTCAATTCGTTACCTCCAGGTAGAATTTCCCTAACTTTCATATCTAAATTTCATACAGTCACTTGATATTGTTTTCACGTTCAACTAACACATGGTAACAAAATGGTATGCCAAGCATATGGGGAGCACAAGAGTACCTATGATTTTTTCATTTATCGGTGACTGGATGCGCGACATATCACGTTAACATAATATGCTTCAATTGAAAAAAAGGTTAAACATCGAAGCATTTTGTAACCTGAGTTAGTTAATTCCAACCAGTACAGCCGAACAGTCACGTAGCAGTTTGTAACCTGAGTTAGTTAATTCCAACCAGTACAGCCGAATGGTCACGTAGCAGATGGTTTTATGGTTCAGGACGTAGGTGATTGGATTAAAATTTCGTATTCTAGAAAACGATTGTATCTATTTTGAACATGGAAAGAACACTGAGCACAATTTTGAATGTTGGGCGCCCCTCACATTATTCCATTTATAAGGTTAACATGCATGGCTTATATAAGGTCATTGGTATGAATCGTCTTATAGGTTTACTTTAACATGAAAAGACAATAAAATTGACCCCCGAAACTTGTGAATGCATGATTTTCCAAAGTGTATTGCATATGCCATATCTGTCATCGTATACATTGTTCAAATTTATCAACACCGGAAAGATTGAAAGGGGGGCATTTAAAAAATACAAGTCATAAACCATGTATTCCGGAATGGTAAGCTCTTTTCGCTTTATCAACGACCGTCGCAATGTAATTCTAGGTCAAATCCGCTTTTTGAAGCAGTAGTCACGAAAAAAGCATAACGCAACAACAAGATAAGTATAATAAAAGATAAACGTTCATATACAGAAATGTAACAGTATTATGTTTCATTTTAGCGAATAGAATATGCAACGTTTCCGCATCGTTGATCTTTCATTGAATCATGTTCATGCATTTCATCGCATCATATCGTTTGTTTCGACGATTAGTTTGTTTAAATTTGCGATCTTATAATCAGTTAATATCTAATAACTCATCATTAGTCATAACAAGAGGCCCATGGGCCTTAACGGTCACCCGAGTTATGTAAAAACTGATGTAATCGATGTTGCCAAATAAAAAAGAAATTATTTTGTAACAAAGGTAACTTGAACTATATGTAATGCAAAAGTAGCGTGAAAGATCTGGGTAGTATATGTACTATGTACAAATAGTGGTTCTGTCAGTCAGCTGAATTATGGTAAAGCACCTAGAATTTGATTCTTCCATATCTTGAGAAGAAGATTTTTGAAATTTCAGTCAATTCAACCCCTCGGGGTCAGTCAGGGCTGATATGTACATACCGTCAAACTGCTATCCAAAACTGATAATGCTAACCAAGTTTGAATTAATTCTGATGGAAATTAAGCAAATGCTAGTCCAAAATGTGATTTCCCTATATAAACGATAGTAAAGTGTATCCCCTGCCCAAGGGGGAAACGTGATACCCCATGGTCATGAAATTCACAATTTTGGTAAAGCACCTTAAGACCCTTCCATCTATGAAGAGTATTTGATTCTACCATATCTTGGTCTTGAGAAGAAGATTATTGAAATTTCAGTCAATTCAACCCTTTTTGGCCCAATCCATCAGCCCCTGGAGGTCAGTCAGGGCTGATATGTGCATACCATTAAACTGCTATCAAATACTGATAATGCTAACCAAGTTTGAATTAATTCCGAACGAAATGAAACAAATGTTGGTCCAAAATGTGATTTCCCTATATAAACTATCGTAAAGTGTATCCCCTCCCCAGGGGAAAACGTGAGACCCGGGGTCATGAAATTCACAATATTGGTAAAGCACCTTATGACCCTTCCATCTATGAAGAGTATTTGATTCTACCATATCTTGGTCTTGAGAAGACGATTTTTGTTATTTTAGTCAATTCAACCCTTTTTGGCCCCACCCATCAGTCCCTGGGGGTCAGTCAGGGCTGATATGTGCATACAATTAAACTGCTATCCAATACTGATAATGCTAACCAAGTTTGAATTAATTCCGATGGAAATGAAACAAATGCTGGTCCAAAATGTGATTTCCCTATATAAACTACATGTATAGTAAAGTTTATCCCCTCCCCAGGGGGAAACGTGAGACCCCAGGGTCATGAAATTCACAATTTTGGTAAAGCACCTTAAGACCCTTCAATCTATGAAAAGTATTTGAATCTACCATATCTTGGTCTTGAAAAGAAGATTATTGAAATTTCAGTCAATTCAACCCTTTCTGGCCCCACCCATTAGCCCCTGAAGGTCAGTTAGTGGGGCTGATTTGTGCATATCAATAAACTGCTATTTAAATACTGATAATGCTAACCAAGTTTGAATTAATTATGATGGAAATTAAACAAATGCTAGTCCAAAATGTGATTTCCCTATAAAAACGATAGTAAAGTGTATCCCCTCCCCAGGGGAAAACGTGAGTTCCCAGGGTCATGAAATTCACAATATTGGTAAAGCACCTTAAGACCCTTCCATCTATGAAGAGAATTTGATTCTACCATACCTAGGTCTTGAGAAAAAGATTTTTGAAATTTCAGTCAATTCAACCCTTTTTGGCCCCACCAATCAGTCCCTGGCGGTCAGTCAGTCCTAAAAATATTCATCACTCTAAATCCTGTTTTTTAAGTTTGTCTCTCACCGTCGACAATTTTCACGGCAGTCAGTTTAAAGGGAGCCACCTCTTCAATACCAAAAACTCCGACATGAAAATTGGAAAAGCGGGACTGCTACTTGAAAATGATTAATTATCACGCTGACATATCTAAACAAATAGCAGACAATGAAATGTTTGAAAACAACGGTAGCCAGTTTTTCTAATTTATGTTTAGGTATGACATGTCCTGTTGAAAGTCATTCATGACGGCACATTTTATTTCTGAGACGTCAACGCAATGTTACCTTCCATGTGAATTCTGCCAAACCCGTTGACAGAGAAAGCATATCCTATGAGACGGGCGAAAATAAGGTTAAGCTACAACTAAAGACAAATAAGTTAATGTTGACGAAATCATTTCGCAATAGTCTCAGGACTTTTGGTCCACCTTATAAAGATAAGTAATGAGGAACGAACAATTGTAAAACAGATTCTGTCCTATTCTCGCAAACACATTGAAATGTCCAAAATCATGTTTGATCATTGAGTATTCGTATTTATTAGCAAAAAAAACAATTTGTCAGCATTATTTATCTGGTGTTAATTTTACACTTGTAACCACGAAAGTGGACTAAAGTAAAGCAACAGGCAAGCTACTGGTATATATGATCTAAGTGGTTCAAAAGTACCACTGTGACCTTATTGTTATTTATAAGAACTTGTTCAAAATATAAAGTTTACGACGGATGGACGATGCGCATCGGCATAAGCTCATTAGGACATTTGGGACCAGGTGAGCTTATAACGAAGACAACTTTTTAGACGTACAAAAAAAACACCAAAGGAATTTCAGTACCTTTATTTTACAAGAAAGTGTAAAAAAAATTATAAATGTGTGACCTTCTTGAACATATTGTTCATTAAAAACGATAGGTTATTGGTTCAAAACTATTTAACAGATAATTAGTTTCTAGACGCTTATCTAAAAGCATTTATTATACATTTCTTCTTTTTTACACTGTATAAAAGTATGAAATAGAATTGATATTCAAAATAACCTCTTTCAAGATTATTTTTTTACCAGGTAAATAGTCATTAACGCTATTTACCCGGAATGAGCATTCATATTTTTGCAGAATATTTGGCTTCGTTCATTCTGATCGGACATTGCGTTTGTCATGTTCCTTCTGAACATCTCTACTTCCATCGCAAACGATACGATAAAGTCCATAAGCGTTTCCGAGACCCAGACGAAGCAGGCATTCTTCGTTTGCAAAACGGGTGATGAGTGAGTGCAAAAGCGAAACCAACCGTTGGTATCCGGCGATGCCGGTCGGGATACTTTTGTTGTTGGTATATCAAATCTGTATAACAGCTGTTTTTCTTCGTGACAGAATGTTAAATTTGTCTGGAGCTTATACGAGCACTGACATTATGTGTATTTTTAAATCAATATATAACTACTGGGAAGGTCAATGCTTTTATTAATTTTGTTATGTATATACCTTACATACCAGTACAATGGCCTAGTGTCTTCTCACACACGCTACTTCCACAGGTATCTAAACAATCAGTTTTACATCGAGAGCCCCAGAAGCCATCTTGACATGCTGTATAGAAAGAAAGAATATAAGCTTATTTTTATGGCAACATCCATCTTTTACTTAATCCATAAAAAGCATTTTTAAGATATTTAGATTTTTCAACAATAGATAGCTTGAAAAAAGAGAGATAATACATGTTTATTTGTCATATAGAGATGAAATAAACATCAAATATATGCAATTATATAAATTTACAACTTGACAGATTTCCAAATTTTACATACTAGACAGTTTTCGGCTTATATCTTACTTCAAACACACACCCTTAATATTGGACAGTTTCAATATCTGTTCAGTATGTGCAATCAATCACGAAGGATATTGATACAGTAAAGGACAGTGGTGTCCTTTAACATACACGTACGTTGCATGCTTTTGTACAAGTGCATGCATTACAGGTGTGAAATATGCCCGAGTAGAATTTAGTCTCATTAGAATAATGAAGGTGCGTTCCCAACAGTCCATGTGCAGTATATTTTGTTTGGTCAAGGTATTTGTATGTATTAATTTTAACACATACAGAACCCCAAAAAGAGGTAACAATATGTTTTTGCAAAGAAAACTGCGCACATCTTTTTATAGATGTGTGATCGTCCTGAACATATTTTTTTTTATTAAACAGCTTCATTAAAGAAGACAAATATATTTGTTGGTTTTACTTAAATATTAATCGGTTTCTAGAATCATCTCTGTTGATCTTAAAGCAAATAGTCTTTTTTCTTTTGTTATGTCAGAATTTAAATTTTGTCTGAAAATTATATAAACATTAACGTAATATTATTTTTTTCAACTCAATAAACTTTATAATGCGTATACCAATGAATTGCTTTTATAAGGCTGTTTTACGAGTAATAAACTATACAAACCAGAACAGTCGCCAGATGTCTTGTCACATACGCTACTTCCACAGGAAGTCGGACAGTTATTTCTGCATTGAAGTCCGTAGAAGCCTTCTTGACATGCTATATAAAATCAGGAACGGAATATTTGTTTGTATTAAAAAAAATCAAAATCTCACTTTATCAAATATTATCCTATTTAAAGCAATATCACGTTTCAACAATTGTTTACATGGATTCATGAATGAACAAAGTTATATTAGCAAGGAAACTGCTTTGAACACTACCTATACACAGATCAAACCAGAATAATATATAGACAATTATTTACATTTATTTTAATCTGTTTAACATCACAGTTCGCAAAACATTTTCTGTATATTTTTTATGAAAACTAAATAATCAACATAGTGATGAAAAGTGACACCAATGTTAATATAAATTGATGGTTAGGTGATTTTTGTTTCTAACTTCAACATATTTATACAAATGGATTGTTTACTATGGCAATTCTTCGAGCTCATATTATACACACCTTTACAATCACCATATGACTTCTCACAAACGTTACTGCCACAGGTAGACGAGCATGTGTTTTCGCATTGAAGTCCGTAGAAACCATCTGGACATGCTAAATTAAATCAGGAATAAAAGTACACTTTTCATTACAACATCATACATTCATATCTCAATGTTCAAACCGAACCATGTTCTATTAAAAAAGATAATATTGAATGTTGAACAAAAGTTGGCATGGAATCATGAATGCATTAATTGTAACTTGCAATATGCGAGTTTGGTTTATGTCAGTGTACTGATTAATATTCATAACGAGGTGTTGTTAAACCAGCGCCAAAATCAAAAGGTATACATTTATATAATAAATTGTAACTTAACAGAAATATAGGGTATTTCTTAATCTATTTCATTTCATTATTTGCAATGTTTTTTTCGGTATAATTTTTTATCAACACTCCTGTAGTGATAGTGATGAGTGTCACGTTTTCCACCTCATCGACGTATTTCTGGCCGATATGTTGTGGTGAAGACTGTATGGGAGAAATAGGGAAACAGAGCGGGTTACATACATTCAGGTTCGCTCCTGTCCAGTGTCTTGGAAGTTGAAAGAAGTTGACAAACACTTGAATACAAATACTGAGTTCATTTAATATTGAAAAATGAATAGTATTATTTACAATAGAATCCGTTGACCAGTACCGCAATGTAAACACTATTGACGGTATTTTGGGAGAAAAGTAACTTATCCTTAGCCCGAGTTGCTTCCCTTGGATCGTGAATTACCATCAGCTTCACTATAAGTTTTCCCTTTTGGGTCTTATCGTCTGCTTTTGGGAGTATCCCATCATGCATCACGCCCATTATGGTTGCGAAGGAGTATCCCAAATACCCAAAACAACGGCAATAATAATTATTGCACTAGTGTGAAATGCCTACCCATCGCTTTGGTGGTATAGACGACATTTCTAATATGTGTGGTTTGTAGAGAATAAGTCAGGGAGCGTTTGAACTGATCGACGTCAGTCAGAGGAATGATGAGTCTCTTTTTCGTTGGTTGGTTGGTTGGTTGGTTTGTTGGTTGACGGGTTTATCGCCTACATCACTCCACCCATGCGGGTTCCGTCTCACTGACGGCGGTCGGTGTTCTGTCAGCCTCGATATCCAGGGGTTACGATTTACTTTCGCTCTTTACACCCCTGGAATATGTCATGGCAAAACTGAAGGCACGTTTGATTGGTCTCAGGTAAAAATAACTGACCAATCGCTAGGCTGATACCTGTCCTTTGAAGATTACAAAGGAGAGACGCCCGACTTCAAAGCCTGTCAATTGTTACCGTTACGTGACCGCGAGATTCTTTTGATGCACATCAAAGGATCAAACTAGTGTTCTTGTTTTATCAACAATGTGGCGCACATAGAACCTTCAGTTTTACTATGACATAGTCCAGGGGTGTAAGAGAGCAAACGTGAGCGTAACCCCTGTATATCAAAGATGGTGTTCTGTCGACGTCCGACTGGTTGGTAAATGTGTTTGGTTTGTCTTGTATGGCACGGAAGTAAGAGGAGGGCGTGTCTATCATATCCAGGCTTTCCTGTGACCCTAGCCTACTCTTTTGTGATTTTTGTTTTTGTTCTATATTTTGGAAGTCCGTCTAATCATCTTAATAAATTAATCTTATCTAATCTATCCCTATCCTCTGTGCCGGCGTTAACACGCCAACTCTTACGAAAACACACAGAGGGGTCTTTTACGTGCAGGTAGGACCCTCCCACACAGGACACCGTTTATAGTCCCTTCCGCCGGACTGTATGTTGGGGCTTAGTGGTAAGTAACATGCAAGTGCTAATTAACCTTGTTTTTGGTGGCCATTCATGAAACCGAATCCTGTTCTTTGCACACTATGGAAACTTTCCTTCAGTACAAATGTTCTCGTTGTTATAAAACGTTTTCTTGGCTTTCGTCTGTAACTGTTCTCTATTCCGACATTTTATAAATATTTTGTAAGTAATAGTATTAATAAGTAGGTGTGTGTGCGTGTGTGTGTGTGTGTGTATGACCAGGGGGGTCGGGGGATGTTGGGTTAGGCGTTGGAGTTTTATATAGGATTGGGTTGGAGCATGCGGGGTGGTATTGATAAGGGTTCAAGGAAGGGGATATAATTGTTGAGTTGGTGGAGGGGGTTAGCGATATTGAGTGGGTAATACATGTGCCGAGTTGATTGTCTGAGTGACGAAACTATTGCTGCACAAAAAAGTGCAGGAAGTAGTAGTGTGCTATTTGACACCAGGTTCTAATGACATCACGCAATTTTAAATAGGATACTAAATGCAATATTCTACCATGTTCTACTATTTTCTGGAAGAAATTACTTACAGAAATCTTATCAATTGTTTTTGTAAATAATATCTTAGTTTATGTACTAAAAACCGCCACGTAATCTATCGTCGCTTCAAAACAATTTTATTGCAATTGCACAAGGCTGTTCCAAATTAGGTTTTCTATAACCTTGTTCAGTACCTATTACTTGACCTCGGTAATACATACATATATATATATTCATTATAGCAAAGATGTTTGTCTATGAATGTCAAATTGATGTCTTCTTTATTCATCGTGGTCAACTGAACAGACATTTAACCTGATTGTCAGAACAAAATAGAAATGCATTATTGATAAACCAGTATGTAATCGTGAACTTACCATTACAGTTTCCGTAAGTATCACATGGGCCAGCACAAGATTCTGGACAAGGCCGGCATGATGTTTCCGATGGTCTGGTATATGTGTTGTCCCCGCAGTCTTTAATGGAATAAAACCAAAAAAGTATATATTTCTTACAACTGATATCATACATGTGTTATTTATGAAGTCATAATTATTGGATAACCCTATTGTATTTTTTGAGAGTTGAGGCGTAGAGATCGTGATTATACTCTAGAAAATTGAGTTTTACTGGAAACACGGAGTACAGTAGGGTTACCCTCATTCTTATTCTTATCAGCTAAAATTAACAAAAGGAACCGACGATTTTAAGATGTTTTTGTGCGTTTCTGTAAATCCTAGGTCTCTGCCGTTGATTTGTGACGTCAGGAATATTCAAAGTTTCATGACGGGTCATTTGGGGTCATTTACGTCATTAACAATCATAATTCGGGCATCACTTGTTACATATCAAACGAATTAGAAAAGCATTTTCGTTGATGAAGCTGTTGAAGAAGGACATACACACGTCTCAGACATATAAAGGATGCCCTTAGATTGTATAATTGTATGTGTATACATTTCGACTTGCAATCGCGACCGATTTATTCGAATAGCGCTCAGTTGGGCATAATAAACGTTAAGTATAGATTATCATCGTATATGGTTTTTATACCGTAGTTATCTACATCATTATATGTAAATTATTGTCGAATATCATGTAGATAAGAAAATTAGAACAACTTTAAAATGACTGTAAATGCCTTGTCGAACATACATAGACAATTTCCTGAGCTTGGATGACACACACTGCCTGGACAGTTCGAGGAACAGTTTTCGTCACAATTTCCATGTCCGTATTTCCCAGCTTCACATCCTGTAAAACCATGAACAGTACGTTATAACCCGGTAACGACAGCGTTCATCTGTGTAAACACTTGATATTTAAACCAAAGGTTAAAGTGTATTACGGAAAATATGTCCGTAAATAGATAAACATTTCACGTGAGACGGTCTTGGTTAAAACTTGTTCTAATTTCCCAGATCTCATTTCAGTCTAGACATTAAAAGACTACACATATTTTAAATAGATGCATTGTTTTAATGTTGTAATTAGACAGGCGAAATGACGAGTATTCAGCCTGGTAGATGCTATACAATGTAACACACATTTCTAATTAAATTATCTTACCTTTGCTACAATGATATACATTTTCTTTTTCAAAATATATATATTTAAAAGATAATTCAATCAGATGTTCGCGAAAACTCGTACTATCTAATTGATTAAAAACTGGTCTTTATGCATAAATACACGGTATAATGAATATCATATTATAATACCATACGTTAGGGTTTGGAATGGACAGCAGACATTGGCGGACAGAGTGATAATTCGTTGAAGGATATTGTGATTTTCAATACATTTAATTTGCTGACTGCAAAGTGAAGCAGAGACAGACTAATTCGTGGTATACAATTTAATGAACAAAAAGCTATTGTCTTTCTAAAAATTAATAATAATAAGAACTTATAAATTGGCGGGGCATATCTACACAGGCATATGATGCTTACCTAGCCATTCAGAAATAGGATGAAATTTGTGTGTCAGCATGCGAGTACTTATCAACAAAGAAATGATAAAAAACAAAACAAAGAAAAAAACACCTAATTAAAGACATACCTTTTTACGAATGTTTATCATCAATTTCACTTCATTTTTTAACGATCTTACACAAAACAAAATCAAGCTTCTTTCTAATTCTTCACGGTAACTGTCTTTCTTAAAACAATAATATCCTCTGTCTTTTATTCGCTGTTTTACAACGTCGATGATGTAACTACATTGATTACAAAGCATGGATTATTCGACAAAAATATATGTGAGTACAAATAAGACTTGTCTTGGGCGGATAGACTTTGGAGAGAGAGAGAGGAAACACGTATGAAAGTGCATACATAATCGTTTCCACATGCGCTTATGCTAAACTGTCTGGAATAGAAAATGGGATGCATTTTGCATAAAAAATAACATCTGCTGTGCTCGACTTATTGCTATAATGAAAATTGGACACAACTTGGCATACCTTTGACCGTACAAAAGAATGACATCATTAAAATAATTGGACAATTAAGGTAATATTCTCTTATAGACACTAAACTGGACACGATAGTACTTTAAATTATATTTCCATGAGGTAGAATAGATATGATAAACTTAAGTTCGTTTATTGCTGCGAAATATGTATCTTGGGGTTTAAAAACATTAATAACAAGCCCATGCCGAAGTGGTGTTTGTTTATCATATTTGTTTTTTGCTTCTATTTTCTCCTGGTCGTTGCTCTTCGTCCCTTAAATTATGCCCGTTTTAGTTTATATAGGTAGGGTTTCGCTGCTATATTTGCCTACGCAAAATCTAATTACAGATGATTTGTAAAATGTAACATGCTTTGTTTTGAATACAAATAGTAAGTCAAACCTTTTTTGCGAGCTTTCGAAAACGTATTTTACTTTTTGTCAGGCAAAGACTGTAAAATGACAAAGAAAACAGACGTTTGCGAAATCTCGCAAAATACGTTTTCATTTATTGTTTGTGTTAAAGAATTTGATAGCATTTATCATTTATACCAAGCCGATGAATCTCACTTCAAGTAAAGGGAAGTTAGTTAAATGTGTTACCTAGATATTAGAACAGTGCGCATTACCTATGCTTATTTAGCTGTATCAATATAATTTGAGATATCAGCTAGGATGCCCCCTTTATGTAGAGTTTTGTTATGCTTTTGCATCTATGATAAATTTTAATTCAGTAATGCTATTAATATGAACAATAATATATCTCTAATCAATGATCAGTTATCTATTAACTCCGAACTAAATTGTAAACGTAAACGTGTATAGGATAATGGTTAAACATTTAATATCTTTCATCTTTTAATGTGTTTATTATAAGTAATATCAATAAAACATGCATGGGTTCAAAAGTTGAACAGGACCAACAGGTTTAAAAAAGGGATAGGTTTAAGTGTAAAACAGAACTGAAATATATATTATAATGATAAGTTCCAGGTTAGTATAGGACTAACAGGTAAATATGGTGATGAGTTCTAGTGTGTATAGGACTGACAGGTACAGTATAGTGATGATTTCTAGTGTGTACAGGACTAACAGGTACAGTATAGGGATGCTTTCTAGTGTGTACAGACTGACAGGTACAGTATAGTGATCAGTTCTAGTGTGATACAGGACTGTCAGTAATAGTATTGTTCTGTGTTCTAGTGTAAAAGGTTTAAAAAAGGGATAGGTTTAAGTGTAAAACAGAACTGAAATATAGATTATAATGATAAGTTCCAGGTTAGTATAGGACTAACTGGTAAATATGGTGATAAGTTCTAGTGTGTATAGGACTGACAGGTACAGTATAGTGATGATTTCTAACTTGATACAGGACTGTCAGGTACAGTATAGTGATGAGTTCTGGTGTGTACAGGACTGTCAGTAATAGTATTGTGTTGAAATCTAGTGTGTACAGGACTGACAGGTACAGTACAGTGATGATTTCTAGTGTGTACAGGACTGACAGGTACAGTATAGTGATGATTTCTAGTGTGTACAGGACTGACAGGTACAGTACAGTGGTGATTTCTAGTGTGTACAGGACTAACAGGTACAGTATAGTGATGATTTTTAACTTGATACAGGACTGTCAGTAATAGTATTGTTCTGTGTTCTAGTGTGATACAGGACTGTCAGTAATAGTATTGTGTTGAAATCTAGTGTGTACAGGACTGACAGGTACAGTATAGTGATGATTTCTAACTTGAAACAGGACTGGCAGGTGAACTATATTGATGAGTTCTAGTGTTATACAGGACTCACAGGTACAGTAGTGTGATGAGGTATAGCTTGAAACAGGACTGAAATGGATAGGTTAGTGATGAGTTCTTGTGTGATACGGGACTGACAGGTACAGTATAGTGATGATTTCTAACTTGATACAGGACTGGCAGGTGAACTATATTGATGAGTTCTAGTATAATACAGGACTGACAGGTTTATAATAGTGATGAGTTCTTGTGTGTACAGGACTGACAGGTACAGTATAGTGATGATTTCTAACTTGATACAGGACTGACAGTAATAGTATTGTTCTGTGTTCTAGTGTAATACAGGACTGTCGGTAATAGTATTGTTCTGTGTTCTAGTGTAATACAGGACTGTCGGTAATAGTATTGTTCTTTGTTCTAGTGTAATACTGGACTGCCAGTAATAGTATTGTTCTGTGTTCTAGTGTGATACAGGGCTGTCGGTAATAGTATTGTTCTGTGTTCTAGTTTGATACAGGACTGTCAATAATAGTATTGTTCTGTGTTCTAGTGTGATACAGGACTGTCAGTAATAGTATTGTTCTGTGTTCTAGTTTGATACAGGACTGTCAATAATAGTATTGTTCTGTGTTCTAGTGTGATACAGGACTGACAGGTGAACTATATTGATGAGTTCTAGTGTGATACAGGACTCACAGGTACAGTAGTGTGATGAGGTATAGCTTGAAACAGGACTGATATGTATAGGTTAGTGATGAGTTCTTGTGTGATACAGGACTGATAGGTACAGTATAGTGATGATTTCTAACTTGATACAGGACTGACAGTAATAGTATTGTTCTGTGTTCTAGTGTAATACAGGACTGACAGGTACAGTAGTGTGATGAGGTATAGCTTGAAACAGGACTGATATGTATAGGTTAGTGATGAGTTCTTGTGTGATACAGAACTGACAGGTACAGTAAAATGATGATTTCTAACTTGATACAGGACTTCCAGGTACAGTATAGTGATGATTTCTAACTTGATACAGGACTGACAGTAATAGTATTGTTCTGTGTTCTAGTGTGATACAGGACTGACAGGTACAGTAGTGTGATGATTTCTAACTTGATACAGGACTTCCAGGTACAGTATAGTGATGATTTCTAACTTGATACAGGACTGACAGTAATAGTATTGTTCTGTGTTCTAGTGTGATACAGGACTGTCGGTAATAGTATTGTTCTGTGTTCTAGTGTGATACAGGACTGTCAGTAATAGTATTGTTCTGTGTTCTAATGTGATGCAGGACTGTCAGTAATAGTATTATGTTGACGTCTAGTGTGATACAGGACTGTCTGTTATAGTTTTTTGTTGACGTCTAGTGTAATACAGGACGGTCAGTAATAGTAGTATGCTGTGTTTTAGTGTGATACAGGATTGTCAGTAAAAGTATTGTGTTGAGGTCTAGTTTGATACAGGACTGTCAGTAATAGTATTATGCTGTGTTCTAGTGTGATACAGGACTGTCTGTTATAGTTTTTTGTTGACGTCTAGTGTAATACAGGACTGTCAGTAATAGTAGTATGCTGTGTTTTAGTCTGATGCAGGACTGTCAGTAATAGTATTGTGTTGAAGTCTAGTTTGATACAGGACTGTCAGTTATAGTATGTATTGTTTTGAGTTCTAATGTTATACAGGACTGTCAGTTATAGTATTATGCTGATTTCTAGTGTGATACAGGACTGACAGGTACAGTAATGTGATGAGTAATAGTGTGATACAAGACTTATAGCAATAGAATTGTGATGCAGGGTGATACACGCTTTACAGGTAATACTGTTGTTTTGTGATAGTGATGAAATTTAATTTAATACAGCTGACAGGTACTGTTTAGTGATACTACTTACAGTTATTATGTAGTGATAATACTGACAGTTATTTTGTAGTGATAATACTGACAGTTATTATGTAGTGATAATACTGACAGTGATGTCTAACGAATTAATATAATAAATTATCTTGACAATGTTCTTTTTATGTTTTGTATATGTCATGTTAATTACAGTGTATATTGACTATAACGGGCTTGTCTTTGTTTTTCTGATATCAACAACTTTCTATTGTATTGCCAACACTCACACACATATTGTTTTTTGTCGAGCTACCACCCAAAACAATTGTTTTTAAATATATAATAGTGTTTTCAACTGCAAGCACCCTTTTGAAAAGTCTTAATATATTTTTCATAAAAAATAGTTTTAACGTTGTATTTATGAATAAAATGGAGCAGGTCTGGAATTGATAATGTATATAAGTTTCACTTTGCGTAGCTCGCTAGAAAATTGTGCCAGAAAATCTATGTTCGTCCTAAATACAAAACCACCACTATGGTCAAATTATTGGCCTACAAAGCTTTGGAGCGGACACAGTAAACGAAAGTAATTAGCCTCCCAATGCACACGTACTTAATATTACAAGTAAGATAATATCAATTAAATTTGTAGAAAAAATACGATGATTATTCAATAATCAATGAAATGCAATCTAAAACATAAACACTTTCTTATGATGAGCATAAGATAATTCATAAGTCAATGAAATGCATTCTAAAAAATAAATACTTTCTTATGATGAGCTTTAAAATGTATACTTTTTATCAGGTCTGGTTCAGTTAAATTTCATAACAACATTGCATGATTAACGAAAGGAAATTAAAAAAAATTACGACACAGTCGAACAGCGATTTTAAAAGTATATGCAGCAAAGTGTTTCATGTGTATTATAAATGAAAGCTAATAAGTACATTATTGTAAAATAAATCAGATAAATATGTAACATTCTGTTATCTGGTTTTAAGTCTGGGGTCAATTGTATGTTAGGAGAACGTTTTCTTTTAGCTTAAAACAATAGTTAAATAGACAGACGGGCAAATGGCCTTTTTTCAAAATAACACCCTTCTAAGCTGTGTTGCTCGGGTATAAAATATCAAATGTAAAAATATTATATAAAATGTGCTACTTTTACAAGCTTATCACTTTTGTATAAAATCACAAAACATAGAATAAATTTGTAGTTAACCTACTAAATAGTCTACACATAAAAATGATTATGTGAAAAATCTCCTTATCATTTACCATGAATATTCCTTAAGGATTTAACATAATTTCCACAGAAATAAGATACATGTAACACAGAAATAAGATACATGTAACACAGAAATAAGATACATGTAACACAGAAATAAGATACATGTAATACAGAAATAAGATACACGTAACACAGAAAAAAGATACATGTAATACAGAAATATGATACACGTAACACAGAAATAAGATACATGTGAAACAGAAATAAGATACATGTCACACAGACATAAGATACATGTTACACAGAATTAAGATACATGTAACACAGAAATAAGATACACGTAACACCAGTATGTCCACAGACATAAGATACATGTAACACAGAAATAAGATACATGTAACACCAGCATGTCCACAGAAATAAGATACATGTAAAACAGAAATAAGATACACGTAACACAGAAAAAAGATACATGTAATACAGAAATAAGATACACGTAACACAGAAATAAGATGCATGTAACACAGAAATAAGATACATGTAACACAGAAATAAGACACATGTAACACAGAGATTAGATACATGTAACACAGAAATAAGATACATATAACACAGAGATTAGATACATGTAACACAGAAATAAGATACATGTAACACAGAAATAAGATACATGTCACACAGACATAAGATACATGTAACACAGAATTAAGATACATGTAACACAGAGATTAGATACATGTTACACAGAAATAAGATACATGTAACACCAGTATGTTTATGACCTTATACATGATAAGTTGTTCGGTTTTGTTATCATTAATGTCAGCAGTATTCCCAAATAATCAAATCAGCTATTGAATCATCGTTTAAAGAGTATATTATCATTTCTAATATTTTTAACTAGTAACTTACCATACACCTGTACTTCACACAGTTCTAGGAGGGCGTCTTTGAAGTACCAATCGTGCCTCTTAGGTGATTCTCTGTGGTTGTATATAGTCACATACTGCGCTGTTCCATTACATTCTGGGTGGTTAACATGACTTATAATTTGGTTGGCACGCTCTGATTCATCAATGAAACATCGCTCTCTCACACGTCTATCGGTTGTATTAGAAAGGTACACCTCGTAGCCGGCGAATCGATTTTTTCCCATCCAGCTACAATGATGTAAATCAAATGATTTCTTTTCATAAAATAGGACAAGACTTCAGCTTAATCAATGTTTTAATACACACAGACCTATTACAGTATAATCTAGTTATATTGAAATCGAGAAGTTGATCAATTAAAAAACGCTGTTTAAAACAAATCTTAACTAGACAACATAATTACAAAATCAATAGGATCATATGCTGGACGTCACTGAGTTTAAGTGCATTTATCAATGACCGTGATTTAAACGATTTACCCATAGACAATGTATTTAGAGTAAGACAAAGAAAACGATTCATTAAACCAAGGTAAATAGTATGCATATCCTCTCCTACATACTTACTCCAACCATAACGTTCTTCTCTGTAATATATTTCCACCTTGTCTATGGTGACTTCTCTATCTAGGTCTACTCTCCACCATACTTCTATTTGTCCATGAGCCTGGTGCGTACATGAATTCCAGCGCAGTTCTTGATTTGTGTCACCATCGACGGCATTTCCAGAAAGGTGTGTTACTGAAGATGTACCTGGTATTGTATACACACTGCTTTGGTGTGTTGATTTTTCTCGAGAGACAATTTCTGTAACAAACAATAGTATCCAGTGATAAGTAAGCATACATCAGACATAGCCATAACAAAAGTGTTTCGTAGCAACTGTGACATTTGGTCAATATAATATGTATATAATATGAGATCAATTTTTCACAAATATGATAGACAGAAGACGGTCATCATTACCGATAACAAAACAACTGTGATGACTTGTTTTCAAGGAAAAGGCTTGTATATGTTTTTCCTGTTGTCCAAATCCCTTAGAATTATATTTATTTAATAAAATATTTTGAAATAAACAAATCATTTGTCATATAATGCAGTTACCATCAGTTGCCAATTTAATCAAAATTGATGCGTTCGACACGAATGAGGATAACGATGTTGTTACCCACGACGAAAATGTATAATGGTTCTTTTCACGATACTGATTATTTTACCTGTTATTGTGTGAATGTGTATTAAAAAGGATTACTATTATAGTGTACCTTTATATGTGTACGTGTTCAGAGAAAATGAATCCAATAGTCTGTAAAATCCACGGAAATTGGAACTCGCCTTATTTGGGTTTTGTGAAATGAAAACTAACAATGAAAAACTCTAAAATTCGTGATATCGTAAATACACATTATTACTAACGATGACCTTTGACCATTCACTTTAATAAACACAAAAAATTGCCAATGTTACAATTATAGTCTTGTATCTAAACTTTAAGGAAATGTATTTCTCAAATACTTTACAGGGTGATCCCGTTGTTGCTAGGGTAAAGATAACTCTATCTTACACGGGGTAGGGAAAGACAGCTGACACGCTCTATGACGTCATAATAATGGATTGTCGACGTGACGTCATTTTATTGTTTCCTTGATGTCATACAATGGCACAGTTCCGCTATCGCAATCCCGGATGGATTTTCGTAACCATTCCGGTATTTACTTATCGCTCATCAAAATCAATGAAGATTACCTGAGGCGATTAAATCGTATACTGTACATGGAAAATAAAATCTTCGATAAACTACAGATGGCATCTCGATAGACGTTTACCTTTGTTGACAAAAGACGATTGTCATTTATGTTAAAGAGAAATCTAATAACGGCAAAAAACCATGGGATTATTGACGCGATGGCGTTATGAAATGTCATGCTTGCCGATGATAGACATTTTTCAGCGATGTTGTGATTTTATGATAGACAAAAAATGATACGAGAAGCATGTTCTTACATCAAACGAAACTTTAATTCTTCTTTCTTGTGTGAATTATCATTTTTAGAAATACAGGATTTCAAAAGTCATTTTGCACCAAAAGTAAAAAGTTGTTTGGCAAGCTACCCACAAATCACGAACTTTATAACATTGTGCATAACCTGAAATAAATGAGAAAACACTTTTTTTTCCTACATGTAAAGTCAATAAATCAGGTTTCAATATTTTGTAGATGGGACGTAAATACTGTTGTGTACCAGGATGTTTCAATACATCAGCTACTCTAACTGAAGAGGGGAAAAAAGTTACCCTACATAGGCTTCCATTGGCAGAAAGTAGGAATCACATAAAACAACAATGGATACGGCGTCTGCGCAATGTTTGAGCTAATCTAATTGTAAATGACAACACGTTAGTTTGTTCGGATCATTTTGAAGGGGAATTCACAGAAACATCCGCACCAACTTTATTTCCGCCAAAACCACCAAAAGATGTTGTGAATGGGGAATCATCCGTCTCAACCCTAGGGCTTCGGGGTTTGCCGGAAGAATAAGATCGATGTTTATGTCGACTGGAATTTGTTTATTTGTATGTATGTGAGAAAAATAATCAAACATGGATCTGTTCCATATACAGGTATATCTTAACCCTCGTGTAAGAGTTCGGCTGGCCAGCCAAACTCTTACACTCGGGTTGAGATATCCCTGTCCAAGGAACAGACCCATGTAATATTCTATTATTCTCTTACCCTGGAACGACAACAATGGCGCGTCAAGCTGATCATCTCTACCATTGTGTTAGTGTGTTTGATTGTTTCGGCACATTTAAATATGGAAACACGATTCTTTTTTCCTCCGAAGCTAATCGTGACACATAAACCCTAAAGATATAATAATCGTGCTACTACTGTTGCTGATGCCGCCGATGGCGACAGAAATATTAGTTTTTTCTTCATGAAACTGCTTCTGTTGCACGCTATTTTATTTATATGTATGGATGAACCGTTAATATGTATGTGAGCCTATTATAAAATAAATCGAACATTTTATACAATACTCTATTTCATTATACCTCGACGTATTCGGGTTTTGTGAAAGAAAAATTGACAAAGAAATACCTACAAGATTTCTCATCTGATTCAAATTTCATATTACCTGACTCTTAAGGATGTATATCTCCGAGAAATGAAAAAAGAGTTTATAGTATACAGTAAATAAAAAATGTAAAAAACAAAACAAAAGTTATCCGGATTTCCTTTTTATGCTATTAGGGACTTACACAACTAAATCATCCAATCAGCAAGTGTTTCATACGTTTGTAGTTCCTATCTGAAATAAGTTCCGGCTAATTACTGGGCCACTGAAGGAGTTTAATAAGGAACTGGTCACAAATATTTAGATAAATGAAATGTTCAGGTATTTTACTTTTGAAAAATATATACTTTTGATATATTTCCATGTCTGTGTGCGGATTTGCACAGGGGCGAAATGTCTGGGGGCGTTTCTGTTTTGGGTCACCGGTTTTGCTTGTAAACTTCCGGTTCTCAACTTCTTGCCGCTGTGACGCCTCCAATATGCCACTGAACCTACCAAAAAAGCCATTCTGTAGCTTTTGCAAGGTATGTATTTATGAATCTAGATAGTTGTCACTAGTTTTGTACTTCAAATATTAAAGTTATTAGCTAAATTGTTAGGTAATAACATATAGAAAATGATTAAGTTGTGTGAATCCTGAACGGTCAAATACCAATTTAACGTAATATGTGATTTTAGGTGATTATTTTAGTTTTGGCCATTTGCAGAATAATTTTAATAAAATATCTTCCAAGTGTGTTATCAGATGTATGAATGTTTGCAGAATTGATAAATATAGCCTTTTTTATAAAATTATCTAAGTAAAATTTCTAACCCTTATTTGTTAATGAAAAAATACTAATTTTCACCAATTTTTGTAGATTAAACGCTTGATTAAAAAAAAAAAATGAATCAAAAGAAAATGTGTTTCTCTCTCTCTAAGACAGCAACAAAAAAATCGGTCCGTGCGCTTTTTTTGTTCCATTATTAAATGTGTTATTTACACCTTTTTCGGGATCAAAAATCCAAGTGCTTCAGTTATACTAGAGATGTAAAAAAAATACCAATCATGCATATGCATATTTTTCCACTTAGATGAATATTATTTTCATCATATTGAAAAAAAATAGAGTTTTACAGCAAAATTTATCTTGCTACAATAAAAAATGGCGACTCAATGATGATTTCAGTGATCAACCTCGTGTCAAAAAGGTGAATATTTGGTCTTTCGTGAAGCGCATGAAATACATGTTTTCAAAATAGCCGCCAAATTGGTCATTTCTAAAAATTCTTGTTTAAAATTTCAACAATCATTAGGCATCTAATTTTTTGGCACATTTTTCAGCTGCACGTTTGCTATTTAAATTGATCACAACATTTTAAATATTACAAAAACCTGTTACAAATGATCAAAACGAGACTGATTGAAAACTCAGAAGAGTACATCCGTAAGGCCTTTTCAAATCATAAAACAGTTAAAAGCAAGATACTTTGGAAGGATAACCTCTGGTCGCTTCGCCATGTTATATTTTCTTTTTTTGCTTAGGATGACATTGGGCCGACACTTAATTTAATTAAAAGGTAAATTTGAAAATCATTGCAAATATAGTAAGAATATCTGAATTTTAGGGGGCATATTTACACAGATCTATCATTGCATTCACAGGCATTCAACGTTGCAAAGGGAGATACTCTTTTGCAAATAGTTGGTTGGTATACGTATTTATTCAAACGAAAACTATTGTACATTCCAAATGGCACACATGTAATTAGCAAATATATACACCTGGTATAAAAATGTCTGATGTCAGGATTTAAGGTTATGCATTGAATGAAATATTTCATTAAAAACACCTTTATCGACATACATATAATAAGGAAAGGGTCACAAAGACCACTCTGAAAGAACGTAAAACTTACCCGACAACTCGACAATCAGTAGAAGGTCTGAGCATATGTAGAGTACAACACCACCGAGAATAAATGTACGTCGAGTCATTCCGAATGGTAGTTAAGTACTGGAATGAACAATGTTTTTTTTTATAGTTTTCATTCAAATAGAGCGACAGCATACAGAGAACGAATAGTGATCTACCAGGAAGTGTTATTTTAAGGATAGCTCAGCAAGTCAGTGTTAATATAAAACAGCTTTAATGGTCGT